TATCTTTTTAACCATTGTGATTTTGCTTGTTTGATTGGAATTATACCGTTATATGTTTTGAGCAGAATATTCTAAGTCTCTTTTGTTAGTTTAGTATGTAATATTTTTTCCAGAGCTAACGGCTCTAACAGACTTATAAATTAAAGATAAAACCTTTTCATTCAACGAGCAAACACAATCCAACTTTTTGTAATTGTTTAGCTGATGGCTTTTTCCTTTTAATAAGATATTTTTTCTAAATTTCACCATAACCATTACTTCTCAAACACTTCATTAAGTACTTCCACATTGCAAAATTATTTTTGCTATCAAAGTTGGAAATCGTTGGCTGCACTTGTTGAATTTGGACTCCTGTTGTTGAACTTGAAGTCATTTTAAGTAAACCTTATATTCTGATACCAGATATTTGCAATTTATATTTGTTATAATTGTCTAAAAATTGAATTTGATAAGTACGCAAATACTCATAATTTTATTTATAAAAAAAGATACAAATTTTACAAAACTCACAAAATAAAATTTCACATCGTAATCCTGTCATGGGTTACCTTATTGACGTCAACCAATAAATCTCACTCTCGTTTCTATTTCTTTCACCTTATAGCCCAATTTCTCTCTCTCAATCTTAAATGATCTAGGCTGTACTTATAGCAACCATAAGTTCGTAATTCAATTTTTCTACCTTTTTGTGATTCAAAAATGGTAGGTTTAATATACCTACTGTTGTTGGGTTCAAATAGGTTGGGTTGAGTTGCTTAGAAGATTTCCATAATTCTTTCTTTTGGTGTAATTCAAAGGTGTTGAGTTTGATATGCTTAATGTTGATTGCCGACTTTATGGTTGCCGTCATACATGTACATATACATTAAATTAAGTTTAAGTGCTAACACCTTCAATTTTCTTGAAAACATTACCCCTTATTTACAACTAGGGCAATATATACGCGTGCGCACATATATTATAGAAATATCATAAGCTCAAATAGTAAGAGTTTGGTGATGGATTCAAACTCGGTTACATCTCCCTGGGTTTGCAATGGTTATAAATTAAAGAAAAGTTTAGTCGGATTCCTGAATCTGCGAATTATATTAATGAAAATTTTCATTCACTCCTTAGCTCAATAGTTAAATTATATCAATAAAAATTTTTATTCACTCCTCAACTCAATAGTTAGTAATAATTTTTTCTGTGATTGATGTTTATATATTTTATTAATGAAAAAGTTATATCGAAGAAAATCAATACTGTGTATACATAAAATCATAAGTTCAAATAGCAAGAGTTTGAGGATGGATTCGACTTTGACTGTATCTCCCCGGGTTGCAGTTGTTATAGATTAGAGAAGAATTTAGGCAGTTGTCTTATTCTGCAAATTACATTAATGAATTTTTTTTTTTCGGTAACTTAAACACAATAATTAGTATGGTACTTCTTTTATAAAAAATTATAAGTTTAAATTAAATTATGCTGTTTCGCATATTAAGTTGTTTTCTATTATAATTAGTGTCTATTTATTAAGTATTGATAAATCATATGTATTTCTAATGAAAATCAATGCTTGAACCTGTACCACGTTTGCAGAAAAAGTTCACATGTTTGGACTACAGAGACGGTTACTTTGGTTGCTGATGGATTTGCTTGGAGAAAGTATGGACAAAAAGATATCCTCAAAGCCAATCATCCAAGGTATATGCATATATGTTAATTTTGTAATTAATATACAAATTCATATTCAAGATTAGGAGTGGATACCTGTATACAAATTTGTGGGTATATATATATATATATATGTATATGTATGTGCAGGAGCTACTTTAGGTGTACGCACAAGAATGATCAAAAGTGCCAAGCAACCAAGCAAGTGCAAAAGATTCGAGACGATCCTCCACTGTATCGAACCACGTATTACGGGCATCACACCTGCAAAAACTTAGTTAATGCTAATCATCTAGTTAATGAATCCATTCAGCTCGGCTTCAGTATCATCAATGACAGTACCAAACAAGATCATACTCCATTTTCAATTTCCTTTCCCAGTAGTTCATCATTAAAAAATGAATGCAAACAAGAGGTATTGACAACAAACAACCAGTTATCTTCATCGCTGTCCAAGTATCTTCTCTCTCCTGATCTTACCACATTCGAATCGTGCAAAGCAAGCACTCATCACAGTTTAGAGATGGGTGTTATGGAGGAATCTGTATCTGTGGGATTTGATGATGTTTTCCCATTCGAATTTTGATGATATATATATATATATATATATATATATTTCTGCGGCAAAATATACATTAATGGTTTCCTTGTTTACAGTTCAGTACTACGTATGTCTGTTATCCTAAGCAATAGTTAGCTACCTCATTGATGGGTGTCCGTAACATAATTTCTGTTGTTGTAGGTCATATCGAATTTATACTAGAAGAAGAAAAAAGGAAAACAGTCATCATCCACAACATTATGGATTGACTGAATATATAAGGTGTTCTTCTTATAGAGGTTTTATTGGTGAAAGTAGGGATGATTGGATGTTAGGAAATTTCGAAAAAGAGGGATGAAAGAGAATGTGTTGAAGGGTTATGGAGCAAACTTGATAAAGGGTAGATGCTGGTCTTTTCTCTTGGGTGATTGTAAGAATCTAGATAATGAATGAGAATGAGGTCTTGAGGTGTGCAATTTAAGTAGGTGATTTGGGTGGTGGGTAGAGCGAGATAGAGTTATTTAAGGCCTCTATATACAATGAAATAGCTTTTGGAGTGACTCATATCTTGCATGCATATACCATTGTTTTGCTTCAACAGCTCTCAGATGCCATCATTTCCTCCCTCTCTGGCTGCATTTCCTCCATTTAAGGCTCTTAGCTTCTCAATATAGTGCATTTTCTACATTCTTCAGTTAACCCCCTTCATTTTTTACAGTAGAGAATCTCATCTAATCACACAATCTTCCACACATGTAATGGAAGTTTTGCAAACATTCAAACCAAAATGGGATTCAGTGCTGGTTACCATCCAGTAGGAGTAAAGATTGCCCCCCTAACGAGGGAAAACCTAACATTCAATTAAATAACTAGTACTTCAATAATTTGACCATATAAGAGGTGACAACTACATAGATTAATTGTCCTGTATTTGGTCACTTATAATCGGAAGTTAATTAAATTAAAATTAATTTTTACCATTATATTTGCCATTTAAGTTTAACTTATTAATTGAAATGTTAAAGTAGTTAAACTAGTGTTTATTATTTTCATTTAATGTTATAATACCCAGACCCAAAATTTGATTTGGAATTAATTTTAAAATTAAAAAACATATATATAAATATAATTTTTAAATTTTTATTTAACGTAAAATTAGAAAAAAAAATATGTAGAAAATGAAATTGAAAACAATTTTAGGAAAAATTGGTGAAAATTTGAATTTGGAGAGTATTTTTGAAAGAAAAATTAA